GAGTGTGGGAAGCGACCAGGATCAGATGAGGTAAGACTTTAATGGATGCTGATTTCCTCTATTTCTTCTGCTCATCTTGAGCCAAGTTTCTCTCTGGGAGCAACGCTCCTGATCTGAACTTCACCTGATAGTGTTATTTATCTGGGGAGGGCCCAGCTGCAATTGCAGCAGGGAGGAGAACCGTAGTTGCACTGCACTCCCGGAGTCCCCCTGCCGCCCGCTGGGCCAGTGCCAGCAACTCAGACTGCAGTGAAAAGCTTCCCCTCCGCTCTGCTTTGTTTCCTCTTCTCTGCAACACATGTGACCGTACCCTTGCTGGTGGCTTGCCTGGAATGAGTCTCTCCACCCACTCTAGATCTGTAGCTAACTATAATTAGCAAGCTGCTTTCTCAAGTCAAGGGAACAACCACAGGCCGATGACGCACAGGACCACTCAGAAGCAAACCATGCTCACAGCCTTCCTTGCCATTCAGTCTCTGGTTCTGCATTCGGCATCTGAGACCGCCTGGTGGCTGTCTCTACTGAACAGTGCGATTTTCTCCTTGCTCTTTCAAATTGAGCCAGAGTGTGGCACTCCTGAAGTGGTTGATTCTTCCTGAGGGGTGTATTCTCAGCAGACATCCTGGGAAATCTTTTCCTGTTGGTTTTTCCTGTATAGGATGAGGTCTAGCAATTAGCTGCCCTAATAAGAGCACAGGGTAATTTTAAATGTGTTAGTCTTAAAGGGTTTTTCTTAAAGTCCCTTTGTGTGGGAAACGGTGTATTATGTCTGCACAGCAACATGGGTTACACAGATTCCTGCATGGTGTTCGCTATAGGGAGAGCCTGCAGGATGCTGCAAAGATTCATGTTCTCAGAAGGTTGTGGCTGCTTGGAAGTGTAATGCTGCCACAGGAATTGGTGGGTTTGGTTTTCTTCTGTCCCATTTCCAGGATATGGAAAGTCCTGCAACAAAGCGGCTACGGACAGTGGCAAAATCTTCTATTCTGTCCCAGCCAGAAAGCAAAAGTGTTGGTCCAACAAAGAAGAAGGTGACTTTTGATCCAAACTTATCACAGTGTGATAAAGAAGGAACCAGCAAGATCGTACAGCCAGTGACCAAAGGCATGTCCCTCAAAGAAACAGCAGACGTCGTTGTCAAATATTTGACCCCATTCTACAAGGGTGGCAAATTTGCTTCCAAGGTAGGGCACAGCTCAAGACCCTCTCTAGCAGAAGGAGACTGCATCTCCCTAGTGATCTGGGGCCCTAAGAAGGGGCAGATGATCTGGATACCACATTTCATTTCCAAGTCACATCTTGGTATGTGCTGTTTTAATGACTCTAGGTGCAGCAACTTGCCTCTCCCAAGAAAGGGTTTGTGTGTGATTCAGAGTGGCATCATGTCGGTTCCACACTTGTTTGTGATTGTTCATGTTTTCACACTAAACTCTGGCAAGTTTTTAAAACCTCCCACCTGTGGAGTGGCAACAGATCAGGTTCAATTCTGGTGTAGTTTATTTGATGTGTTCTGAAAGGCAGCATGCGTGCGCGTGTGCTTCTCCAGCACTGCAGGGTCAGGTGTATTCGCAGGTTTGCAACACTCCTGTAGTCTAAATCTATGAATGGTTTGTGCTAGAGCCAGCCTGTGCTAAGGGCAAGACAAATGCGGAAACAGTCTGGTGAGGTAACCGATGTCTGCTTTCTGCTCTTTATCTTCCCCAATTCTGCAGGATCTGTTTAAGGGCTTTGCTCGGCACCTGTCTCACTTACTGACTGAAGAGCAGAACCCTGCCCGCAAGACTGGTGAGTTGGCAGCTGGGGAGAGCACCAAGAATCCTGGGTTCTTTTGATGCTAAATGGGGTGATGTCTTTAGAGGGGGCAGATGTCTTAAGTATCATCTCAAAGGTGGTGCTTCCTCTCTTGCAGTGAAGGAGGAAGCACAGAGACTCATCAAGGAGTTTTTCAAAACAAGGGTCAGGTGTGAGAGTGAGACAGACTGGCAGGAGCTGCAGAGCTCAGAGAGCTGATCCTTGCATCGTGTTGGCTGTCTTCCTTCCTCCGGCAGTGGGACCAGGGGATCTTGAAGAACTCAACCATGGAGGGTTTCATGAAACTGCAGAAATGAGCTTTCTTTTCCCACTGCATTTTTGCTCACTTCTGTCCTTAGTGACACGCACTTCCAGGAAACCAGTTTCCATGAACTTATGGAGCGTTTCTCCAGTAACTAGGGCGCTGAAGCGCTCTAGTACGTCTTGCCAAGAGGTGTGAAGTCTGCATCTGCTGTGTAGGTTAGGGGCTGCTGCCTCAGATGTTCTGCAGTGTCTCCAACCTCTACTCCCTGCAGCAGTCTGGGAAGGGCTCAGACTTTCCAACTGGGAGTCTGCTTTGGGATGGCATCTTGCTTCCTAAATGGCTCCTCCCCTCGCTCCCATCTCTTAGTTCTTATTTCAGTGTTACCAAGAGAAGCCTTATGCTACAAGTTCACATGCTTTGCTCAGGGCTGCCAAGGATGAGCTTGATGTTGAGTTCCTGGATGGAATGTTTTCCCTTGAAGGGCAGGAGGGGAGCGTTTTGTTTTTACCATGCAGGCAATGCCTACTTTCTGAAGGTGGAGAAACTCGGATTCTTTTTCTTTTAGTCTGAACTTTTTTTTAACTTTGTCTAGTTCTGCCTGGCCTTTAACTTAAGCGGTGATGCGTTTTCAGTATTAACCTCTCCAATAGTGGCACCAAGGTTGCCAACACTTTTCCAGCATTTGCTTGTAACCCCTAAAGCCATATTTGCTCCCTGTGCCTCACCCACAGTCTGCAATACAGAGGGCAACGCTGCTGTTACAACTGGTTAAGGTACTGCTGTGGCCCTCAAATTGACACTGTGGTGCCTCTGCTGCTATATTTATAGAAGGACCTGAACCTTAGGGTATCAGCGGGCTTGAAATAACCTGATTCCCTGGCACAAGTCCTTTCTGTTGGGTTTTTGTTGGGTTCTGCCTTTGTTCCATGCACTATAGAGGCTGGTGACCTCAGGCACTAGTGCTGCTAGAGGAATCTGCAGCCTGAGAGGCCATCAAACAGGTTTTGGACCACTGTACTCAACAGATGGGGTTTTTTTTTAAATGTACTGAAGGGTATGTGCAGAACTGACAATAAAACAATGTTATAGCTGCTGTGGACTCTTCCTGAAAGCTTTTTTCTTACCAATTAATTATACAGACTGGTCTAAGATACATTAAGACTCCATCACTGTGAACACAGCCCTGAAAGCTCATTTCTTATCTGAACAGACAGCTAATAAATGCAAGCCTGGGATGAGATGGATGGGAAGCACGTGCCAGCAGACACCTCCAACCCCTTATAGTTGCAGGACTTCTCCAGCTAGAACCAGAAGGAGAACCTGGAAATGTTGAACTCAAAAGTCACTTTCATCTTCAGCTTGCTCTGCTCACTGGAGGACAAAGGACTTTACAAGAAGCCTTTTACACAATAGAAGTATTTTTCAGTTGCCTGCTGGCTTCTATTTTACCTTCCCATTAAAAATCCTGTTTCATCAGCCACTTAAGTGGGGTTACTATCTCTCCGGAGTCCAGTGCTTGTAGAGTTCAGCTGCTGTCTAGGTGAACTTCTCAGAAATGCTTTGTCTTCTAACTCAGGGGCTCTGGAAAGGGCTGGTTAAGGCATGGGGTTGTGTGACGAAATGCTTTATCACAATGTGGGGCATTTCTAACCAGATGAGCTGTGCTTCCATGTAAGGCAGCAAAAGCTCAGAGAAAGCAAAGGGGAATAAGGATAAGCTGATCTTCAGAGATCTTCTGTATTCCTTTCTTTCACGTCACTGCGGTGCTTTAACCAGCCTTGCAGTAGCGCTGTTGAAGGAGGAGAGTGGAACATGCTTCACCCTAAGACCTCACAGGCCACAGCGAGCAGCACTTGAAGGGAAGTTCCTGACAGGGAAGATGCTGTGGCTGGTGAGGTGATGCCAGCAGTAACAAGAAGCTAACTGTGCATCATGGCTTGCACTAAGCACCCTCACATCTATCCCATTCCCAGCTGACAGCGACAACCTTTTCCTCAAGCTTTGCCGGTTACCTGCAGATCAGTCTTCCCATGTTAGATGTAAACCAGTATCTGTCACATCATAGCATCAAGATCTCTCTACGTGATTATTTTATTGCAATCTCCTAAAGTGCAGATACTTTTCAGTTCAGTAGGATAGCTGTAGCAATAAAAATAAATTAAGCATTTTCGTACAACCCAGGACCCTCTACTGTAATACAAGTTCCATTTGAATACGCTTTCTCCATGAGCATGGAGCCATCATTTAAGTATGACAGCTGCACGGACACGACTGACTTCTTTATACTACAGGAAAATTTAAGCATAAGAAATTAATTAACAATAAACTTTCTTACCATTGCAGCTCAATCTGTGCCCCAGCATATGTGTTAATTGTGTATTAACACTGATCTGCTTTGCAATTAAGATGCTTTCTACAAGCTCCTGCTTCACAAATCCTGCTGCAGGGCCTCTTGCATATCAATACAGAGAAAAAGCTGGCCTATAGAAAACACCAGCAGCCAGTGCAGTCATTTCATAGCCTCAGCTTTGCATTGTGATACACAAATCTCTAGCAAGCAGTCTTTGCTTATGTTAATTAATTCAAAAAAGAAAAGAACAGTCCCAGACTGCATAGCTTGAAGGTAATTGCTTGCATCTGTTCAGCTGCTCTGTGTTGGAAAAGGTTATGAAGAAGCAATGGTATGGAAAGGGTGTCTTGTGGTTTGTTTAGCCAGTGCATGCATCGCTTCAAGGAGGAGTACTTGGGGGGCTGAATGGCAGGTCACAAGGGGTGAGATTATGGTCCGGTCCATCAACAAACACTGTGGTGGCAGTCTTGGAAAGCAGCTGTCTGAGGTCATGGACGTCTTTTGGAAGAATCCTCTCCAGAAGACAGGGCAGGGAGCACTGAACAAGCTCAAGGAAAGGAAAAGAGCGCTGTTTTGCTTGGTCATTCTCCTCCTCTTAGGCTTTAGTGGTGCAGCTCTGTTTGATCCAGGATGACAACAATCGTGTGATACATTTCTTTAGCCTGTCAAAACACAAATCAGTACCAGTCATTCTCTGCCCCAGAAATGGCTGCTTCTCATAATTAAATATTCCCATAAATCACTTTCCCTAACTAAATATCAGGTAGGTGCTGGGACAAAGCTGCACTTTGGGGCCTGGGAAATGCAGTGCCCCCATCCACCTCTGGGGCAGAAGAGAGCAGTAGTACTGTCTCCTAGCAGAGGCTCAGCGGGGCAGTGGAAGGCAATTTCTGAATTGCCAGGAGGAAGCTGTAGGTCCAGGCTGATCTCACCTGTGACAGTTCAAGCCACATAGTCTTGGGGCTGGCAGCCGAGCCATAGTTTAGTTCTATGCCAGGAAGCCCACCATCAGAGACAGGCCGCAGGGTTCGCATCTTCTGCAGCTCTTTCAATGGAATGACGCAGGAGATCGCCTGCGCAAGGAGAAAAAGCCACAAAACACTCTCTGGTGCAGTCCTTACAAATAAAACCATCTGATTCTCACCAAGGAGTATTCACCTCAAGAGCCTGTTGAAAGCTAAGACAAGGACTGGGGCACAGGGCAGTGTGTACAGAATACAGGGCAGGCTCCTGCTGCCAGCATGGCCCTAGAACTCCTGCGAGACTGGGACAAACAGGAACGTGACCTACACTTAGTCTTACTGTGAACCATGCTTGTTAGCATGATCACTGGACTTATAAAAGAGCACATGGCAGTACTGTTCAAGTACTCTTGTCCCTTGCTTTGGGCTAGGGCTGTTAGAGTATCTGTGATGCAGGTGAATACAGTCCCTTCCTGCACAAGTTCTTCTAAAAGTCAAAGTTAACATCTGACAGACATCAGGGCTCTGGACTCTAGGGAGGAATTGTCTGGCATACCTGGGTGGTGCCATCCACCACAATGATCTCTTCTTTATTCACGCCACAGAAACAGGGCACGGGGATTGTGTTATCGCTGACTCTCTCTACAAAGTAGATGTTGTAGCCAAAGAAAGGCAATTTCATCACATGCTCTGTAAGAAAGCAAAAGGTGGCTTTCAGGCAGCAGCTTCCAGCCAGCAATCTACTGCACCAACCTAAGGTGGTCAAAAGCTGCAAGTGTTCCCAAGCTTTTCTGCATTAAAAAGTAAGATTGACAACTTCTCCCTCCCTCCCAGGCTGCTGATACTCAATTCTCAGCAGCCTGAATGGATGTCCCATTCTTTTCTGACCAGAAAACAGACGTGCAGCCAGAATATTAATTAAAACACAACTTGTACAGAGCTCTGGAAGTCTACTGCAGACTTCCGCAAAAGAAGTGAGACTTCTACCATGATCACCATGCTTGGGATCAAGTGCCAGTCTGCAGGGGGAGGCTGTCAGGGAGTCATATGTCATGGCCCATTCCAGACTCCAAGGATCCTCGCCAACCTCAGGAACTGTCCCAAAAGCGCATTCAGAGCAGCTTCCATCATGCTCAGGATAGATGACTCAAGCAGATCTGGATGTCTCCTCACCTATGAACTGGATTTTTGCATCCACCGGCTGGAAGGGCTGCCTGCTTCTCAGCAGCATGCCAACATAGCTCTGCAGAGCCTGGGGACTGATGGAGGACTGCAGGGTCTTTGGCGTGTACTCCTTCAGCTCTTCCCTGTGCCAACAAGCAGATACTAATTCACCCCCTGCCCAGCTAAAATCAAAAGATCAACCAGGGAGATTAAGAGGAAGGAGGGGATGCGGCAACAGTTTTCAGTTGCATGGCTAGGGGCAAGGGTGGAGGGAGAGGGGAAGAGCACAGCAGGTCGTATCTGAATTGGATAATGTGGAAGGAAACAGAGACAGCAAGACCACCATTTTCCACACAGAAGGCAGCTGTGCACCACTGACTAGTCCCTCCTTTCTGGGGACAACAGGAGCTCTTCAAGCAAGGACTGTAGCATGGAAGTAGAGCCACACAGTATTGCTTTCACAGGCAGTCTCAGCTGAAAAACACCTTACTCTAACTCTGTCTTGCTCCTGTGCCTCCGAAGCACTACACAGAGCAGAGTTCCCTATGCCCAGCAGGGTTATGCCATTACCCCCTGCTGCTGGTGGTGTGAGGGGATCTGATGGAGACATTACCTCCACTCTAAGTGCATAAGGATATGGGAAGGAAGGAGCGTGAAAATACAGCTCAGGGCTGCAGGACAGAAGCTTTCCAGGTCCCAGGGACATTTTCATTCCCCTTAGGCATCTCACTACAGATTTCAAGTGCCCAGGGTTGAAAACTCTGGCACTTGTGAGAAAGAACAAAGGAGCATTCATCCCCACTATAAGTTCATACACTTCCTTCTTGGTATTACAAACACATGGCAGTCAAAAGAAATGTCCATGGCACCCTCATGACCCTCAGCTCAGAAGGAGTCACAAAAGGAAATGTGCATCAGAGCCAGTCAGCATTAAGAGTGTGAACAGGAGGTAAGCTTTCTTGATTGCGGGCAGGAGTCAGTCACTGAGTAGTGACATCAATTAGTAGTTTATGTTCTCCAGAACTGTCCATTCCTTAATTATCCGGAGAGTACTTTCAGGCACCTACCCCTAACCCCTGTGGTGCCAACAGCCATTAGAGATAGAGACCCACCCTGAGACAAACATACCTGGAGGGATCAGAGTTCTGCTGCTCTGTTTTGGCCCAGTGCTGGAGCATTGCCAAAATGCCCACCTGCATCTCCATTTCTTTACTACGGCTCAACAGTATCCTCCCATTCAGGTAATCCCACAGCATCTGAGAGACAGCACAGCAAAGAGGCCTTTGTTAAACCTTTCAGAAGGTACAGAAAGGTCTGGGCAGTGCCAGGCTGCAGAGACCCACATCTTGCCATGCTGATAACACGAAAGCAAAGGCTTTCTGCGCTCAGGAAGAGCATGCAGAACTGCACAAGCCATGTCTAGAACCGTACAGCTCATAGGCTAGGGCTGCAGGCATACTGCCTTCCTTGCATCCATAGCTTCAGTTATTAGTCATTCCCAGAAACAGCATACTAAGCCGATCAGCCAAAGCCCTCCTGCTTCTTCAGCTCCCTTGGGAAATTCCCATTGGCCTGTACGCTAACTCTGCCCCTGCTAGGGAGGTTCCTGATGCACACTGCCCTTGTTGCTTACCTGTCCATAATGAACATCAGTATAAATTCTGTTCTCAAAGTGCAGAGGCGTCCTCCAGATGAGCCTGCGTAAAGTCACAGTGACCAACTTGTCCTCCAGCAGGTAATCATGAAGATACTCCTCTGATCTTATCGGCCTCACCGTTTTATCTACATATTTACACAGAGAGAGGGTCATCACTCGTGGTGCTGAGACAGTGGGCTGAGCTCCATGACCTGGGACAGGAGCCTTCCTGCACGCCTCTATTCCACCCTGCCCTTAGGACTCCCAGCATCAGCCATTCCCAAGGGCCACGGACCCACACAGACACACACACACACACTTCTTTCAGGAGCAAGCAACACAGCCCCTGAGAAGGCACACTCCTTAACCTTCGTACAGAGGGAAACTGCTGAAGAGGGACCTCCCCAGAGCCAGCAACATTGAGGGAACTATTTGAAACAGTAGCCATGGTACTCCCTGTTGGAGAAACTGCTTTAAGAACGAACCTAGGTGCTAGTCTCTACTTGCCAAGATTATTGCTGTCACTCCTGATGGCAAAAAGAACAAATTCCTGTATCTCTTCCTGTTCGCCTGCCCCCATCTGCTCACAGATCTCCTGCAAGAGCTCCTTGGCCACCTGAAGCGAGGAAAGAAGCAAATAAGTACTATGACCAGGCAAGCCCAAAGCAGCCCCAGAGCAGTTAAACATACTGGGCTTGTTAGAGGGCAGCAGTATGGCTCTGGCCATTGTGCAAAGCAGCAAGCTGGGTGAGGCGTCCCAGCGTTGTGCAGGCCCTGCAGAGATACGCTGCTACAGGGATTCCTAGGAAGTGAGTGGGGAAACTGTCACAGCACCATGGGAAGCACAGGCCAAGCCCAAGGTTTTGACAGATAAGGGAGTTCCCTGGTGTGGCTCAGAGTCCAGATCAATGAAGAAATTCAAAGCAGAAAACTCACAGTGAATGTCTTAACTCTGGTCAGGTATTCCATGCCTCCAGGCATCAGTATCGCTAGCCGGCGGGCACCATGCCCCTTCTGCAAAGGACAGTCTTTGACGTCATGCAGGACATGCAGGATCCCATCAGCCCCACAATTCTTCCTCCCTCTTCCTTCCTTCTCATCTCCACCTTCCACTACTTGCCCATAGTACCTGCCTCTTCCCTGCCCACACCCCTGCCTACTCCATGGCATTGCACTTCCCAGTCCCCTTGCAGACACATGCCTCATTTCCTCTCTTGGAACACTAACCACCCCTGTAACACTGCACATGGCACCTCCTGGCAAACCTCTGCCCTCCCTCTCTTCCCAGCATCCCCACTTCTCTGCCCCTCAATACCAGCAATGCCTCTATCTCCACAGGGAAAGGAAGGTGGCGACGGCCCCCATACATGAAATTTTTCCGCAGGTTGCTCTGACAGGTCTTGGCTATATCTGCAGGAAAAGGAAAAAGCTTCATGTGCTGAACCAAACAGAGGATTTAACATTGTCTCCTATGGTGCTGGGTCATCCTGACTGTGTTGAATTTAACCCCGGGCCACCGCTAGGAGAGGAAAGAGAGTTGACCTCATCTCCCACTCTGCCAGGACACATCCAAATCATGAGGGGCCAACCCCAGACACTGTCCAGGGTAGAAGGGAGTACACAGGAATGACAGGATGGGAGAACTAGAATCCTCTTCTCTGGCAGGATTCCAACCCATATACCTCACAGCTGATGACTCTGGAAGACCACAGTCTGCCTTTCCCCCAAGGTCTAGCTGTCAAACTGAGCCTAAGCAGCAGGGCTAAGCTAAGCCTCAGAGAGACACACAATTCCACCTTGCCTGGGTGAAGATGCAATGGGAAATTACCTCTGCAAACAGAAAGACTAGAGATACAAAGCAGACTCTTGCCTGCAGGCTCAGGTCCTTCAGTACCCGACTCATTTCTCCTGCCTAACAGGATAAGGGAGATTTCCCTGTTGGACCATGTCCCCACCTGGATCCTGTCTTCTTTCTTTGACCACTGAGCTTTAGTAAACAAGGGGGCAGCTGTTTATTTTACAGGACACAAACAGTCATACCATGGTGGGTGCTGGATGGATCACTGCTGGCTAGCTGCAGAAACTTGGTGGCGTAGGGCATCAGGATGTTAGAAGGGAGGAAGTACCCAGTTAGCAGGTTTAGGAGCAACCAACCACGCAGCACGCTCTCCCTGCAGGGCAGAAAGAACTGTGAGCACCTTGGAACAAGACAATTACTGCTCCAAGCAGCTCAAACTGAGCCTCTGCCCTTTTGAACACCTATGGCAGGTTGCAGAAAATGAGGTAGTGGCCCTTGGTCAAAGGTTTCTTGTGCTGAGGAAGGGATTCGTTTAGTTATTCTAACAGCAAACAGAGAAAGGGAACAGTCAAGGCCACTCTGATGCCACTGCTGCCATATCACAGGGCAGTGTGGGGTCAAGCCAGTCCTAACTGTTGTACCAATTCCCCAGGGCTGTGAAGAGGAAATCAGGGCTCTGAGCAGCGCCACTACCGGGAGCTACCAGGAATGTTTAGCAGCGCCCAGATATATCAGCAGCCCGAGATAGAAGGACAAACATCCATTGAAGTGAAAAAGCCAAACCCCAGTGACTTGCTAAATTCCCTGAGCGCTCAGCAAAAGCCCCAGCAACTGAGCAGTGAGGGATAGTACATCATTAGGGGTCAGCCTCTCTCCTGGCGCTGCTGCCTATGCAGCAAGGCAGATGGTTCCCCTCCAGCTGTGCAGGCACAGGAGCTGACAGTGCTGGTACTCACTGGTTAGGGTTGTGGGTGACCTGTTTGATGACCTGGCAGTAGACCTCATCATGCAAACTCTCCTTCTCCTTGCACAGCTGCATTCAGAGAGGAAAAGACAGCATCAGAGAGGGGACGAGAGCATCAGAGAGGCCCCAGGTCATCTCTGTGCCCTTCTGCTCCCAGCTCCAGAGCTCTGCCAATGTGGCTTAAAGCTTGGGCTTTGCAGCCTCTGGTCTCTAGTGCTATCTGGGCCCAAAGAAGGGGAGGCAGGTTGTGCTCTCATCCAGACAGTGATATCCAGGGAAACCATTTACATGCAACCCTCCCCCCCCATGTTTTTTAATCAGCCTCTCTGTTTCAGCTCCCTTTCTCATGTAGGAGGTTGCATTATGGCTCTCCCTGCTTTCTCCCTTCCCAGCAAGGTCTTGGCTCTTCATTCCCATTGGTGCTTCAACACCTTGCCCAGGGGAAGGTCACAAACCTGAAGGATTTCATAGATGCATTCAGCCTCATTCTGGTTCTTGAGTTTTGATTGATCTCCCATGAACTGCATCAGAGCTGCAAAGCAAAGGCTAGCATTTAGGTCTAAGCAGAGGTGATCCTGCCGTGGGGCAGGCAGTAGACTAGAAAATGTCCTGAAAGCTTTTCTGCTCCATGGGCTATTACGAGGCTTGCATTGGACATGTGTAGTCGGTGGGGCATCAGCCCAGGCAGTGTGCGTTCTTGGGCACTTTGCACTCAAAGTGTATTTTGCTGGACGCTTTCAGCACGGACACAGGTGGTTATTAACTGCAGAAATGCCTTAGGAGGGGCCCTCCTCTCAGTTTTCATTCCCCACGCTGGGCCCCATGATGCCTGTGCGTGACCACCAAGGCCATCCCACTCACCCCCGCTCCAGCCTCTGCAGTGTTGTGTCCTAGGGAGGTACTTACTCCTGAAGTTCTTTGTAGCAAGCTCATTCAGTTCGCTATCAGCGTACTGGAGCAAAGATTCCTGGATTGGGACCTGCAGGGCCAGAATACAAGGGTAAGCTGGGGAGGCAGATCGCACAGAGCTGTGCTGCAGGCTTCATGAAAGACACAGGCTCCCAGCATCTTGCAGGCAGCACTGAAGAGTAGGGGGCACCTACGCTTCTCCAGAGACTGCAGCCAAGGATCTGCCCTCTGTGCTTTTGCCACGTGGGGACAAAGCTAGAGGCAATGCTGGAGCTAGATTTCTGGCTGTAGCCATGGGGAGAGACTGAGCTCACCTTGGTGTGCTGGACCAGGGTAGCTGCACTCTTCTTTTCAGCAGAAATCCCATTCAGTCCCTGCCTAGACAGAAGAGAGAGAACATGCAGCCTAAGAAATATCCCCAGAAACGGCTTGGTGTGGGTCAGGCTACACAGGTCCTGTGTATGCCTGTTCAAGAAGGACCACAGCCTACTCACATGGACTGAGCCTCTCTGAAGTAGGCTATGGCGAAGTCTGTCATGGTATAACGGTCGCCAGCAGGGACTAACATGATGCTGTCAGGTTCTGATGTCAGGCTGGGAACAGAACTCTGCAGGGACAGGCACCAAACCCACCCTGAATAGTCAGCTGAGGAACTGCAGTGTGTATTCTCCTCACCTGCCAGACCTGGGAAGGCCTCATCTGTGTGTGTTGCCTCCCCCTCCCACTATGACAGTATTTGAGTGTCTCCATCTGTAAGGATTAAGCAGTCATCTTCTTCCCTCTAGCCTTGGAGGTCAGACACTACCAGGGCCATGGACCCACCCTGGCAGCTCCCACAGAACCCGGCCACATCGCCTAGCAGTTCCCTAAAGACGACTCACCTCCCTGCTGGTGTTCCTGCTCTCCGGGGAAGCTTTCATGCTCTTCCGCAGCCCTCCACATCTGTCCATGCTGGTGCTGAGGTGATCAGGGGCTGCAGCCAATTGCACAAGGCTGGTGGGGAAAATACCACAGCGGCCACCAGTGGAGCCGAACTGCCAGCCTGCAGAAACAGGGGAGAAAGAGTCAGGAACCATGGCAGCTACCAAGAGAAACGAGCAGTGAGACATACTACTGGCAAAGGAGAGCACCAGACTGACCAGGCTTTCCTGCATCCTAAGATAACATCCCCTATAACTATGGCAGCTGGAACAAGGTGGGTTGCGGTCAGAGAATGGCAGAGCTGAAAGCTGACTATGCCAGCCCTTAACAGTCTGCTTTCCTCTGGTTTACTTGACAGCAGCATGTAGAGCTTCTGGGCACCATGGGTCCAGTGTTACCGTAAGTCAATCACAGCAGGCCCTTGAACCCAGTCCCCACCTTTCCTGCCAATCTCAAACTCCCTCACCTGGCTCTACGCCTTGCATGGGCAGTAACTTGATGAGGTCACCCTTCTTGAAGCTAAGGAGGCTCTTGTCATCCACAACGTAGCTGCGCAAAGCAACAACGTAGTTGGTATCCTGGGGAAAAAGTGATGGGGAGGTCAAATCTCATCCCCAGGATGTGAGGGATTTGGACCACATCATCCCATGGACCCTCTCGGGTCCATGTGGGAAACCACCTTCATTCCCTACTGCACTACAGCCACTCCCTTACCTGCCTCAGCTCCTGGATGAAGAGTTCCACCATGGCCTTGATGCACGGAGCCTTTGGAGAGTGCAGGAAGAGCTGCTCTGTCTTCAGAGAGAGCTCCAGGGCATTGCTGCCCTTCAGTTCCACTGACAGCACATCTGCAAAGCTGAGAACACAGACAGCATGCTCAGGCTCCCTCTGCCAGAGCTAGGGATGCAGATCATGGGGATGGGAGCTCATTCCAAAGACTGAGAATGGAGACAGGCCTCGGCACGCTCCAGAGGGTGGCCTTTCACCAGCACTGTATTACAACAGTAATAGCACCATAGGCTGCTCATGGCTTTCACCGTACCCCTCTGAGGACCTCCCTTCTGATGACATGCATGGAGCTGACTCACACCTAGCACTCACTTATTGTGAGCAAAACACAAGGTAGGGAGGAAAGGGAAAGGCCAAACTCATTAGAAGGAGGGTCAGTGAGTCACAGCTGGCCTGGGACAATCCTAGAAAGCACAGCACAACCAGACAATTTTCAGCTCACCTGTTCGGTCTGCCTCCTACACTCTGAAAACATCCTGCAAGTGACAAATTATCATCCTGCAGCAACCAGTGCCCTTTTGCTCACCTGTAGCTGCGAAGAATCTTCAGGTGCTCAGGATTATACCCAGCTGCTTTCACCACCTTCAGCAGCTGCATGCCCCGGTGAGAAACACCCAGAATCTGGACATCACTTCCATTTTCACCCTGTAAGGGAAGTGCAGCAGAGAGCGTGAAAGACCCCATCCCACCCGGACAGGATGCAGCAGGGGAAGAAGATGCTACCGTATGTACCATGAAGGAGACCCTAGGCTGACAGGGGCGTCAAACCCAGCAAGGTACAGAAGGCGCAGAAGAATGAGTGGTGTGTGGCCAGGCAGGGAGACAGAAAGAGATCCCAGGTGAACTAGAGCCACAGAGCTAAAGCAAGCCCCGGGTCTGGTGAAAAGATTAAGACTCACATGAACTGGGAAAAGGCGGGAGAAATAGTTAGCCCAGTTATCTCGAGCAGCCAGTACAATCCTCTTCTTTATCCCATCCTCCTGAATGGACTGGACATCGTTGCCAACCCGGAACTCCACTAGCAGGGGTACAAAGCAGATAGTTTCTCAGTAAGACAGAGATGGCCAAGTCTTCCTCTGCCCAGGGACTCCTTCCCACCAGTCCTCCTCAGTGATTACAGTGCAGCAAACGACATGCAGAGGCAAAAGGATACCATGTTATTTGCACACACCAGTCTACTACTAGTTTCTCTCCCCCTCTCCATGAAGCTCCTGTCAAAGAAGACAGGTGGATTTTGAGACAACTCAAAATCCCATCCTTGGGCCTCAGTTTCCTCTCCCTACAATAAACATATCAGAACTAAGTTTTTCTGGCTCAGAGAAATTTCAGGGCCATTTTCTGGGCATTTGGGATAAACAACATTCCTACACTGCACTACACAGCACACACAAATGTGCTTTCTTGCTGCAGTGACAAACATTTCTCCTCTGCCCTAAGTCCTGCCTGAAAGGGCTTGGAGGCCGGTTTCTTGTTTCAAACCAAAAGCTGGGATGGGCACGGGGACGAAGGGATGATGGGGCTGTTAATTACTCAGCAGGTCTTTCATCTTGCGCTTCTCCTCCCTGGAGATCCGAAGGCAGGAGTCGGAGAAGGTGTCACGCATGATCTGCAGAGGAAGGAAACAGAGAGGCTTCCATTGAAAAGGCCACATCTGAGTGTGTTGGAGCATCTGAGGCCGTTAAACAGACTGAGTTTCAGAAGAGTGAGCAGGGGCTTGACTGGATGGACCTGGAGAAGAGACTAACACCACTAGGGATGCAGAAGTGAAGGCAGCTTATGCAGTGTAACAGAGAAACAACAGGCCTTGAGTCATACACCAGTACACACCTGTTCACACAGCAAGTTCAGACAATAAGGGTGACTGAAGTTTTCTTTGGGGTAAAACACCTGCAAGAGGAGGATAAAAACAATAGTAATGTTACAGAAGTTTACAGATGTTGCAGAAATAGCTCTCCAGGGATGTTTCGTAATCTATATGCCCTACTGCCAGAGAGGAGTGAGTCCATCTCCAAGGACAGGCAGGGAAGAGACACTGTGAATGTAAACAGAAAGACCAGGAGCGAAGGACCAAAAGTGAAGTGGTGAGACCATGGGATGAACCCTGGTCAGTTCAGTGCACTCTCCAATACTTCATTTTAAACACATTTGTACTGTTTTAACAGGAAAGCGCCAGGCAACAAAAAATTTACTTTAACTGTAGATTTCTCAGTGTTTTACAGAGGGAGGAAAGGACAGGTAGGGAAACTGAGACACCAGAGTCAGTAAGGCAGAGAGTAGGACTCGGATCTCCTCCGAGATGATCCCCCGCCCCCAACTCCTGCGTCGCGTGACCTCCTCCCAGAGCTGCCTTTGTGCTCTTATTTCACACTGGGTGCCTATGACAAAAAGTGATTTTAACCGAATGTGGAACCAGTTCCCTCCCCCCCATAGCCAGCCCTCAGCTAGTGAACTGTACCTCTTTGCGCAGAAAGATTTTCCAGGGAGGGTTGATATAGGAAAAGCTGACACTGGCAGTGAGCTTGTACAGCTGGGTCTTGATACCATCATCTTCTGCTACTGTTACAGTAGAGTCTGTGTGAGGAGAAAGAGCAGTGAAGATGGGCTTTGCTGACTACAGGGTCACCTTCCCACCTGCCAAAGACCTACCAAGAGAAAGGGGACAGTGCCATGTGCCTGACTGAAGATTACTGTCAAGAACGCTCTTGAAGGTCAGTGATCAGCTAGTACGAATGCATGCACAAAACGGTCATCATGTGAGTACCAGCATTTATACTTGCTGTATTAGTCACAAAGTTCAGTGCTCATAATAGCAACGCTCCAGAGTTAGGGAGCCCACAGCGTGCCAGGCAAAATATTACCCACGTGCTTAAGTTTGAAGACACAGTTTCACTTTATGTCATTATAAAAAGCCTGCTAAAGGTTTCAAAAGGACATAAAAGTTCTCCCCTAAGCTTGCAGACTGCAAGGTTGTGGTACAAGGCACCCAGTACTTGCACTGGGTTTTCTCTCTGCAGGAGATCTATTAAAAGACAGGCTCAGTCTGAAGACAACCATTCAAAGGCCTTGCTTTACAAGGTAGGAATATCTTCATTTAAGCACTCCCAACTTTCAAAATTTCAGAGTTCATAGACAATCAAGAATTGTAGTAGATCGCACAGTTCAGCTGTTTCTATATTCCTATTCAAAAGCATGTAGGGATTTTTCAGGCCAATCTAGTTACTTCGATTTACTTTCGCCAGACTTCCTGAAGATCCATTTTTAAAAAGAGAGGGGGAGTGAAACCAGGACATTCTTTTATACCAGGGAATCTGACGCAGGATGGAGTCCTGCAGTAATGTGCTTGACTGACTGTTCCTTGTATGTTATAAAATGTGATGCTGATGAGAGTTTTAAACAGCTTGAAATACATTGGTACATGTATCCAAAATAGCAGCAAAGTATAAAATGAATTATGGCTCCAGGATCCCACTGCAATTCAGAAGGAAAACCTAAGACTGAATAACACTTCCAAACTCCTGCTGAGAAGCATTAGCTATGCCATTTTTCAGGTGGGCAATGTCCAGACACTCCTTATGTGGCCAGTGTCCAAGGTCTCTCAGGCTCTCATTCTCCCTCTGAGAAACATTCCCTCATTCCTCAGCCTGTCTCTAAGGACCCTCCAGAGGCTCTAGAAGGTAAAACACCCAGCTTCCCATTCCTCCCTGGTCTAAAGTCCACCTGTTGAATTCCAGCTTTGATAAAGTAGTTATGCTTCAGGTAGGTAATAAAACATAATGTGGACTGGACCTTGATAAAGCTGTAGCCCAAAGGTCCTTTCTGTTTTTAGCTGCATTTTTTCAGAGAAACCCAGCCCCTCCATCAGTTTTGCCTGACATCCTGCACTGCACTGGGAAGAAAGGGAAGAGTTAGAGCTGGGAAGTGCCATGCTGAGTGCGGGGCCAGACTGGAACTACGGTGACAGTCTCTGATTTCACACAGCCCACTCAGTCTTTGACCAGCTGGCCGATGACAGAACATGTGCTGTGACTCTCCCGGGCCACTGGGCTGATTCCGACCCCATCCCCTCCCACCGCTACCAAATCCCACTTGGGTGAAGTCAATACTCACCCTTCCCTGTGGATTCCTGCCAGCCTTGGTTCCCAGGCAGAAGAGGTGAAGGCAATGGTGGGGGAGGAGGAGGAGGAGCAGGAGGGGCCTGGGAACCTGGTGGGGTTCTCTCCTGGCTGAAGATGGACAGGAGAGGCAACTGCTTCTCCTTGATAGAGCTGGAAGCTGAGCCTGGCTTGGGCTTGGGAGGTGGAGGTGTTCTCTTCTCTTGTGGCAGGGGGGGTGGCTGCAAGACAGCAAAACCATTTGATGCGGTCATTCTCTGCATTACTGTGCTCTGTCCTGATACTGCTGTTGTTACAAGTCATCCCTAGGGCATCAGTCCAACCCTAGAAGCAAGATCTGTGTGAACAGGGATACCAGGACCTTTAAATCAGCACATGATCTACAAACAGATGAAGATCAAGCAAACCCAAGTGCAGAGAACCAAGTATTTGAGATTGAAGCCTCCAGTTGGGAAGGGGAAAAGAGACATTAATGGGCCAAGACCTTGGTGCCAAATGTGGGGAACATGAGTTGCTTGCTTCCAGATCAGCCTTAAACATACCACAATAGGACTTGCTGCTCCAGAGCCTTTTCTCCAGGACCTCAAGTGACTTTACAGACTGCAACCCAGTCTAGGATGGGCAGCACCATGGTATGAGCTCACAGCTATCTAGTAACCCAAGAAGAAATCACCTGGCTGCTACTGCACTACCAAGTAGCTCCCAATCTGTTGGAGATTGGATATACAGGCCCTCTCTGCTGAGCTCTTAGGCGACCGGAGAGCAAAGAACTCACTGATTTGGGAGAGGAGAGGTTCATCATTCCCAGCTTGGCCAGAGCCTCATTTTTGGGGTCGTTCTTCTTCATAAATGGCTTGGACACTCTCCTGCAAGGAAATGGGGAACAGTTACAGGGGCTGCAGAGGGGTTGTGGCCACAATGGAGCCATGTGGCAGCACTGGGATATAGTCCCACTCATCTCCTCCCTGCCCACCTGGGTGGACCCCACTCTCTCACCTGACAGGCTCGATAGGCTGGGGCTCAGGGGCTGGCCTGCTCTGGTACATTTTGATGATGTTGCGGATCTCCCGGCTGGGTTCAGGCCGCGACTCGGGGCCTGAAGGCTTCACTACAGGTGGCTCCTTCTTCGCTTTTCGTGTCTGCTTTTTTGGCTTCGGCTCAGGAGGTGGCAAAGGGGGAGCAGGAGCTATTGGGGATGACAGCTTTAACCAACAGCCCAGCAAAGACACAGGAGAAATCCCATTATGTCATTTGAAGCGCCCTCTCTTTCACCCCCAGGCTGACTGGCCATGACCTTCCACTACCTTGCTTTGGGATCCCACTTCCCAAAGCTCAGACCTTTCTCTCTCTCCTCTCCTGTCAAGATGCAGACTCCCAGAAGGGCCAGATCCTTTCCTCCTGTGGCTATATCCTGGCCTGATGCTCCTAGAAAGTTCCCGCTTGTCAGCCTGCCTGGGTCTCCACTGCACAGCATCTTACCTGCCTCTGTTTTAGGGCTGGGCTTCTCTTCTTTCCTCTTCTCCTGCTCCTCTTCCTTCTCCTCCTCCTGCTTTGGCTGGGGATTTGCTGGAGGGGTCCAGGTTTTGGAAGGAGGCCTGACTTTCTTCACTCGGATTTGTTGCTCTCCTGCATAGAAAGGGGGACCTGAGCTAGTTAAACCCACAACCAAAGCCTAGCACTAACGGCATAGTTTCCACCCTTGCATCAGCCAGCAGAAGCCTATGCTTTCTAGAGGCAAAGGAGGGTGTGGCAGTCAGAAGCCCAAAGATGTCTAGAAAACTGGTAACACAACGCCTCACAATCTGAATTGTAGCCACCTGAGCAGGCACCCAAAACTCCTGCTACACACAGCACCAGCAGCTCCTGCAGGGATTAGCTGGGTTCCAGACAGGGAGACAAGAACACCTTGTTATGCCAGGGAGGCTGCAGAACAAGGTGTTAAGATGAGTGAAATTCCCAAAGTGGTAGATGCTCACCCATCTTCTGAAAATATTCTCTCTTCTGCTGGAAAGTTTCTCGAAGATAGTCATCATCTTCACTGTCGAAGAACTCGTCTTCCGTGTAGTCGTAAACCTGCAAGCAGTTCACAACATGGCTAGTTAGCACTAGCCAGCAGATACCTCCATAGCGCCCTTAAGTTCAGAGGTGATCTTCCCTTGCCAAGTTCTGATCTGGAACTTCTCCCTATCTGGGAGCATCCCAAGAGATCAGTCTCTGACCCAAGGAATCATCAAAGTCCAGAGAAGGAGTATGTTAGAGGCCCAAGAGAGCTTGCTGGAAGATAAAGAACTCCGAGTAATGAATTTTCCTATGGAAAAATTCAGATCAGCTGGAAATTAATTGGCCAACACTGCAGCCAAACCTCCGCAGAGCTAATGCCACCAAGGTTTGATCCTGTGTCTTAAAGACTCAGCAAGCAGAGTTTGAAAGGTCTCAGTATCATAGGTAAGCATAGCGCTCTGCTCTCCTCTCTGCCAAACCACTGTCACACTGTAGGGAAGCAGAGCAAATGCAAGTCATGAAATTCAAACCAAATTCACCACCACTGTTTCTCATACCGGTTCTTCTGCCTTAGCTGGTGGTTCTGGAGCCTTTGGGGGTGGTGTAGCATTCTGGCTGCTGGGAGGCTTCTTGGGTTTTGGGGAAGTGGCTGGGACTGGGGCTGGAGCTGAGGCTCGGGCTTGTGGTGGACTTGAGACTCTTGGCCTTGAGTTCTCAAGAGACTGTTGCCACCGCTGCTGTTGCTGCTGCTGCTGGGAAATGCTCATGGCTTGAAGGGTCACCTGCTGGGCCTGGAGGAAGGAATTGCAATGTTCATGAGCTCTAGGCTACACAAAATCATCAGCCGTCAGTCAGACTGTCCTATTCTTTCACTGATAATCACAGAACATCTACATAGTCCGCTGCAAATTTCCCAGTGTTATGGACAAGGCATGCCCAGGGAGTCTGCTCCCACCTGGCCAAGTATGCAGAGCTCCTAACAACACCCCAAAGACTCAGCTACCAGTGAGATAGCCTGGGACCTCCATGCACTCACAAGGCTTTGTACAGAAAGCAGAATACTGCAGATCTGCATCTGTAGCAAATTCCAGCTTAAAAACACATGGGAATTACAGCTGAGGCTTCTCAGGGCCTGCTCTTGTCCCTGCTACTCACTCACCTATGGTGCCTCAGTGTCCTCATGTACACAAAGCAGCAAAAAGGGGGTTCCCAGTTTTGCAGTCTTAAATAATCCCGACTTTATATACCTAACCCCCAGCACATAAACACAGAGTGTTACAGAGCAGGCCTAATGCAGGAGTGGAGCACGGCTAACCTCTTAACAGCACATACGCCAGTGCGTTGTTCTTCCCCGGTTCCTGAGCCCCTCCCAGCCGGTCCCTTCCACTCACCATGAGCATGGCTTGCTGGTTGATAAAGGTTTGCTGTTGTGCTGCTAACTGATTGGGATCTACAGCTGGAACCACAGGCTGGGGCATAACCATGGCTGTAGAAGACACACATGTCTGCAAACACCCACAGGCAATCATTCCCCACAATGCCCGAGCATCAGCCCAGAGCTGAGCGTTCACTGTGCACCCCACCTGACATTCAAATGCACAGGCTCCATTACGACACCCACCCTTCCATCCTTTTCCCCTGTATAGTTACTGAATTATTACCTGGCATAGGTGCAATCCCACCAGCCGCTGGCATCATAGGCATGGCCGCTGGCATCCCCATCATTGAAGGCACAGACTGGTAAACTGGTGCTTGAGTCATTCCAGAGAAGCCTAGAGGCAAAAGGCCACATGCACAGTGCTTTTGGGGAATCCCAGATCAGAAAGCCCTGATCAATCCGCACAGAACACATCACATAAGCTGGGTACCTCTGGTTCTCTCCACATGCACCAACCATGGGGACATGTGAATGGTTTACCTCTTCACACACAGCAGGACACAGCAAAACTCAGGTGGAAAAAGGAAACCTAAGAGAAAAGTGTGGCCTGCCAGACTTTACAATAGCAGGATCCAGACCCTGCTTTCTGCACTATAGCTTAGGACACCACCATCCTTCATGACTAAGCATATAAATAATTCCTGCCTGTGTATGATTACAGAGAAGGGTTTCTCCTGAGGGTTGGGCAAAGATCTCTGGGCCTGCCAGATCCATGTTGGTCTCTTTGCAGCAGGCAGCAAGGGTAAATGAACAATGAGCCCTGGCCTGGGTGGCATTGTGAAGGAACTGTGGAGAGAAAAAAATTCCTCTGCTCCCAGCAGTCAAGTCCCACATAGAATCATCAAGGTTGGAAAAGACCTCTAAGATCATTGAGTCCAACCATCAACCCAAC